TTTTAAACATTAAAATATATATATCTTTAAAACAGCAGATCCAAGAAGGTGACCAGGAAGAGCTGAGTTTCTTCTATGGCTTTTGAAATCACTGAGGTATCCTGAATAATCATCATTTCTGACACTTACGGTTGCTTTCCTATGAAAGCCACATTCAAAAGTGACCTACCCCAGCATGTGTGAAGGAAACTGAGAAGGGGAGGGGAGCAGCTGAGGGGCTGATGTAGAGAAGTGTAGTCACAGGTCCACAAAGAGGCCAGGAGTGTGTTTGAAACTGAGGGGCTTCAAGGATGGAAGCTCCTCTGGACAAAGTGATTCTCCCAGTTTAATCAACAGGTTCAGCAGCGAGACACTGGGACAATGGGCACCAAGGTGGCCAGGGCAGAATGGCATGGGGCAGGATGAAGAAAGACTGGCAGCACAGGAAAGAGGGCTGCCACCACCCCACACCATCCAGGAAGGGAGGCGGGCTATTAGGATGAGTGACACCAGTGGAATTTTCCAGCTTTTCTGTGGCAGGGGGTGGGGTGAGGGGGGAGGCAAGGATGAGATACACAGAAATGGAAGATGCTAAGTAAAGATGTTTAAGTAAATACATATATCTTAATACCGGCATCTTTCCATTTCCACAAATACCATATAAAGCTGAACTTGCTCTTAACTGAGATGGATTATATAGAAACAATAGTCCCAATGGCTAAAGAATGAAGCTCTAATAGCAATCTGGAAATTACCAAATTATGTATAAAGTATTATATAGGCATCAGAAAATGGCCACATCCTATGGCAGGTCAAGTAGGAATCCCTTTCTATGAGTAAACTAGAGAATCAGGTTTAATTGCATAGTCTTTCAGAACTGTGAAAAGAAAATGAGAACCAGCTCATTCCTGAAGGCCTAGGTTTTCTCTGCAGAGCACTGGGCTACTGACCCTCCCAGGATGAGCAGGATCAGTCCAGGGAACAGCTGTCCCAGCTTCCAGAACGCCTTTTCCACAGTCACTGAGGAGACATGTCACACATCCCCTAGATCCACAAACTCATCTTCTCGCTTGGCCAGGTCATCTTCATCTCCCAAAGCTTTCCAGCCACTGGTGGGCAAGACTGGCTTGGACGAATGTCGCTGGAGCAGAGCAAAAGGAAACAAGGAGGAGAGGCGGGCAGAGGCAGAGTTCCTCAGCAGGTAGGGGGCCTCTGCACGGGCAGCCTCTGGGCTATGGTGCCTCTCATTGATTTTCTCCTGTAAGTTCTGCACTTCTTCCATCATTTCCAAGAGTTTACTCATCGTGGCTACTCTGCCACCACCCAGGATTTGGGCTTCTGGAATCCAACGCAAGTAGCGCTGGGCCCAGACCTTGATTTCTGGTCCCTCTATGTGAGGCAACAACAAACCATGGTAGTCAGCAGGCTTACTATGCCAGTTGTCATAGAACTCTCGAGAGTTGTCCTGAAGCTCGTCAGAAGAGTTAATAAGTTTACTAATTCTCTTGCCTAGAAGGTTTTTAATCAAATGGTCTGTTTCTTCCCTGAAAAATCCTCTTTTGGGAGATGACTTAGACTGAGTAAGTGGCAAGGAAAGTTGTCGTTGATGCTTTGAGAGAAAACACAGAATCTTTGGTTAACATAAGAAGCAAGGTTACAGTTGTTACCATTAAAAATATTAATATCAGCCAGGCGTGGTGGCGCATGCCTTTAATCCCAACACTCGGGAGGCAGAGACAGGCGGATCTCTGTGAGTTCAAGGCCAGCCTGGTCTACATAGTGAGTTCCAGGACAGTTGGGGCTACAGGGAGAGCCTTTTTCAAAAAAACAAAAAAAAAAAAATCTCAGGGGGGCATGTATATCTTTAATCCCAACATTCAGGAGGTAGAGGCAGAAGGACCTCTGTGAGATCAAGGCCAGCCTGGTCTAAATAGGACGTCCAACGCCAGCTAAGGCTACAGGGAGACCCTGTCTCAAAAAGATAAAGAAAAAAAAATTAATATCTCTGTGAGTTTGAACTCAACCTAGTCTACATAGCGAGTGTGAGGTCAGCCAGGGCTGTATAGTGAAATTCTGTCTCAATAACCCCTGCCCCCCAAAATAGAAAGGGCACATTCCTGCTGGGAGCAGTGTCAAGAACATCAGAACTGCCATATTATATGTATTTGCTAAAATGCTATAGCTCAGGAAAGGGGGTTTCCTGTTCACAGTCATATGTGTTTGACACACGTGGTACTATTGACAAATGGGAGAGACCAGGCACATGTGGTGGCTACACAAAAAGGCAAGTTGGCACAGACTGTCTCTCAACTCCCTCTTCCTTCTTTGGAAGAGTGGTACCAAAGGAAACAAAGAACTTTAGAAGAGCTGGTTTAACCTCACATAGGTTAATGATTTAAGGCAATCTAGAGCAGTCTGGGGTTCTCCCCAAACCCCTCTGCTTTGGTTTTTTGAGACAAAGTCTCACTATATAGCTCTGGCTAGCCTGGAACTCACGAGACAGACCAGACTGGCCTGAAACGTGGTCATCATCTTGCCTCTGCCTTCCCAGTGCTGTACCCTACAGGTTATGCAACCACTCCTAGCACATTGTATAAAGGGAAGAAAATGGTTCTTTTTTAAGAACTTTAGAGCTGTTAACTGCTGTACTATTTTGAACATCTTCAAGGAAGCAGTGTTGACCACCTGAAGATCTTATCCTGTGGGCAAAATAACTTTATAACTTATCAGGCATTCATTGAGAGTTTCAGTTGAAGTCACAGTCTCTCTTGGACAAGGGCAATGGGCAGGTGGGAACAGAGGAAATGGCTAAGAGGATTGGGCTAACTTGGCTGGATAGTCTTGTTTGACATGCATGGTACAGAAAACAAGAGCATTTAAATTTTGTTCCTACTTGCTAATTTTCTCAGCAGCAAACCAAGGTGTTACACTTTGGGATACACTGTGAAAGGGTTCTGAAGCTCTGACAGAAGGTTGTGGGGATTCCTCAGTGCCCAAAGAAAAAGGTATTGCAAATGTATGGAATGCTGTTTCTGCCAACTCTTCTTCTCCTAAGATGTTCATTCAAAGTAAGAACAGATATTTGGGGGCCATAGCTCAGGCCTGTACCCAATACTTGAGCAGGAGACTGCCAGGAGTTTGGGGCCAGCTTGGGCTACATAGTGAATTTCAAGCCAGCCTGAGAAGTAGTTGAGACAAACCTTGCCACAAACAAAATTAAGACTAAATTAAAAAAAAAAATTTCCTTTAGGTTAGCATTATAATCTTCTAACTTAATTCTACCTGTGAGTGTTCCTTGTAAAAATTTTTTACAAAGGGAATATTCCTGTTCTCAAATATGGAACAATAAAAATATACAGAAGAGCAAAGTTATATATAATACCACAACTCAGAGATGACCAGGATTTCTGATTTTCCATCCAGGGACAAGAAAGATGAAGGTCAGGATTCAGTGGCCTCTCTGCTCCACAGTGACCAAGGTGAGTCAGAAAGGAATGGGGACCAATGAAAGTAAGGAAACCTGTCACTGAGTGATTACTGCCTGCTATATTTTCAACTCCTCTTGGTCTTGGATGCTTTCGGCTCCCAGTCGTCTAAGTGCATGGGACATCTGAGATGCACCAAGGTGGGAGCAGCATGACATAAGCAAAGCCAGGGAGGCATGGGTCTGTAGGCGAGGCATACCACACTCCTGAGCGAACCTGGCCCTCCATGGCAGATCTCAGAGCAGCATTTCAGGCTGGTCAGTCTCTATAGAACTTCTGAGCCATGTGTCCTCTAAACAAGGGGCCAAAATCTAGAATCTCATTTTCTTGCTTACTGAAAGGCTTCAAAGTTCCCTGTAGCTGGCCCCCAACCCTGATATATCTAAAATATCAGAAATCCTCTAACCCTTTGACTCACATCTCTCCTACCAGCCTCTCAGCCTCTCTCGGAGCCAATATCATTTGCCACTGTCTATGAGAAGAGACCATGGGAACTGGACATGAGAAAAGAAATGAAATTCATTCTTAAAAGGTAGAGCTTTAGCTTACTCTCATCAAATAAGGGAGTGGCCTAGCAGTCTCTGAGGTTCCTTGCCCTAGGCAGATCTGAGTCTAGCCCAGCTCTCAGGAGAAGTTAGCAGGCTGCCACCAGGGGGCACAGTGCACTGAAGAAAAAGTTCATCTCTGGCCAACTTGTTCTGAGGTGTAGGAATCCTGGTCAAACTATAGAAAAGAAGAAGGCTCACATGCACTTTGTTTCTGCTGAACCAGAAAAGGGAAACATCCACCCTGAGTCTGAGAACACGGGAGGTCTAAGCTGCTCAGCAGCCAACACTGTCTCCGAAGCACTGGCTTTGGCTCACCTAGGTTCCCAATCTTAAGATGAACTATGTCCCATACCTGAAACAGTGAGGCTCTAGAGCCCCTTAGGATCAGGCAGAATGGAAGGACAGTGTGGGAAAGATGGATGTGCACTGACCTGGACTTTTGTTATTGCTCCCCCCCTTTGTGGGCTCTGTCAGCAAGAAACTCCAGGCTAGGAAACAGAGCTAGGAAATGTCATTTAAACAGTTTATCAGTTAGGGAACCCTGAGGTACAAGATTTAGTAAAACCAGCAACAAATATGTGAAAGGAAAACAAGGCCTTGACATTTGTGGTTTAAAGCATGGGTGGGCCAACTCCACCCAGCCTTTGGGCCAAAGCTGATGTGACACTTTTCTGTGAACACTGGGACATAGCTGTGCCTACTGTGTGTTGTTCAGGACCACCTTTGCTACAACAGTAGAGTGGCCAGTTGAAACAGCCCTTGACACAAAGTTGTCAGCTTATAGGTTTATTAAGAAAGTCTTGCTATGAAATAGATGAGCTGGCATTTATTGAGTAAAACCTGTGTGATCAATGTTCCTTTTACTTTACCAGCCATACACACAGACAGAGTAAGAGGCATGATTCCATTTAGCACAACTGTGGCAACAGTATCCCCAGTGGCATTTAGCAAACAGCCATGTCTCATTAGAGCAAAGCATGATTTGCTGAAAGTAAAAGACTCCTCTATTGAGCCTCAGTAACCTGAGTGTCACAAATCCCAACTGAACACCATTCCAATGGGTAAAACACACTGACAGAGATCCACAGAGTAGTCTTTGTCCTCCCGTTTATGGGGATGGAGGGGCAGGGGAAGGGGGGTTAAGACATGCATATCTTACTTTTAAACGTGTTCCTTTCCTCTGGCCTTTGTCCAGTTTTGGCTTTTCCACATAAAGAGGGTTTCTGAGCAATGTCTGGGCTTTGGGTTCAAACTGTACAGACCAATCCCACACAGTGAGCAGAGTCAATGGCTTGCTTTGTATATACAGGCTTTCTTTACCCTGCCAAAATAAGCACAGGTCACCATGGCTTCCAGGGCCAGCTGGAAAGCAAACACACATTCTCAGAAACAGGCTCCAGAAAGAGTGCTCTGCCTGGCCCGAGAAAGAAGGCTCACATGCACTTTGTTTCTCAAGGCTGAGGCTCTTAATGGTTCCTCACAAAAAGCTCTTGGTGGGAGAAGGGTGAGAGCTACTAGTGGCTTTCACAACCACTTTGTGAAGTGATCTGCATTTTTTCTAGGTTACATTTGAGGAAACCAAGGCTCAGAAACTGAAGTGACCTGCCTAAGGGCAAAAGCTCTCAAGCTACAGGGCTGGTCTCTGAACCCAGAGCTGTTTGGCTCAGACGCCAGGTTTGGTTGTTCCTGCTTCCTGGTGGGATTTGGCAATCCTACCAACTCAAGCCAGCCCCAAGGCAGGAGAGGGCTAGTTGGAGGCACCCATATTAACACAGACAGTTCGCCCCTGAGAGCACAGGCTAAAGTGGGATGAAAGGGCTTTAAGGTGCAAAATCGAAGCCTGGCTTCCTTACTCCCCTGGTGTCCCAAAGTAACTCTAGGCATCAAGAAATGAAGAGAGGGCATGTGGTTTACCTTGTAAAAGGATAACATTTAATTTGGCTTAATCCCCAAACTCCAATGCTTACTTCCAGTTCGAATATTAACTATGGACTAGATACTTATTCTTGGTGTTTCAGCTTCCTCAGGGATAATGATAATATATAGCCCATGGGGTGCTGCAAGGACTAAATACTTTTCCAGGTATGAACAGCTGGAAACCATTCAAAGAAATATCTGGTACATAGTTGGTATTAAACAAATGTCATTTTTAGGACCAATGCTGTAGCATCCTATTTGTGAGATCCAGCTTCTCTGGTACACAGATTTCTAAGAGGGACTCTTACCATGTTCGTATCTTTTTGATGAGGCGAATTGAAAAAGAAGGTGCTAAAAATAGGGATATATAGGCTATCTGACAAAACAGTCAGGTAAGTCTCTGTGAACTCAAATGCTGGGGGATGCTGCTGCACCAGCTGCCAGACACAATCTAAGAAAAGCAGGAACACAGGAACCTATGTGAAAACAAGACACACGTTACTCAGCAGGCCCAGGCCCAGCATGAGCCATCCCAAGCTCAGGTGACAGCCATCAGGAGCTCTGAGTCCTGCTTTCTCTGGGAAACATAGAATACACAGCCCATTCCAAGTGATAGACATGCTCAGAGGCTACATTCTTGTGTGTTAGTATCTGGCAGTCTCTATGTCAAGGAGATTTTAACAATGAACATCTAAATATCTCATAATGGACCTGCACTAACACAGGAGCACCTGCAATTAGTTTTGATGATAGTGAACACTAATTCTGGACTCCAATTAAGTGAACTGTCCTCGTTCTACAAAAAAAATTCCATCTTCTTTCTTTTTATTTTAGTTTTTGGGTTTTTTTGAGATAGTCTCACTATGTAGACTAGGCTAACCTTGAACTCAAGAGATCCGCCTGCCTCCCAAGTGCTGGGATTAAAGGAGTGCCCAGCTCCATTTTCTTAAGAGTAGTGTTGGATTAAGTAAACAAAAAAAAAGTATTAAATGATGACTGCTGTTTTATAGCCTGTCAATTAAAAAATTGTGTATATAGGGGACATTTGTGCCTGTCTACAAGCTAAGAGGTGAGGTTGGTTCTGAAGACTGTGAGGGCCCTAAAGGCAAAAGTGTGGGAGAGAAGGCTAGGGTACAGGATGAGTGCCCAACATGTTTGCAAACATGCTTTGCTAACTCTGGATCATCTTTTGGTAGCTGCCCAGAGGCAAGCCTTTGTTAGCATAGAATACTGTGCCTTCACTTAAGTGTTTATTCTCCTTGATCCATCAATGATCCTGCAACATGGATAAGGCAAGCTATGGACAGTATCCACCTGCATGATTACAGGTACAGGTTTCACATGAAGCTGGGAGAAAGGAGTTAGGAATTCTTGGATAAAAGCACCACGTCAATATTACAAATCATACCAGTTAGTTCTTCAAAACTCCAATACGTTGATTCTGAGAGTCTAGGAACTACTTATATAGCAACCTCATTTCACATCACATTTTATGGGCAATATCACTAAGTAGAAATGTAAATTTATGAACCTCACTGTACAGTCAGGGAAAAGGGCTCCTAAGTGTGAGTCACTCTCTGAGAGCTGGATGAACAGACATGGCCTTCTGGCTTCTTTACTACACAGGGTGCTTGGCAGTCTCCCTTTCTCAAAACATGCACAATCATACCTTTCCAGACAGTTTTACCTCTGTGCTTATCATGCCACATGAATCCCATCAGCCTTTCAAATTACTCTCTCCAAAGTCCCTCCCAAGACTGAAAAGTGGCAATTTCTCTTCAATGTGATGGCATACAGAGAGAACGGGTTGGGTCTGAAAGAAACCAACTGGCCTATTGACAGAAGCCTGAGTCTCCTCAGACACCTGTCAAGCCCCAAAGGGTAGAAGCCACAGCTTTCTATTCTATAGTATGCCTTGCCAAGCTGTTCTGTATCTTGGGCAGACATACTGTCTGGAATAAGAAAAGCCACAAGTCACAGTACTAGCATGCATTAGCTATAGAAGTGCTTTAACTAAAGAAAGCTCGGTCCATTTTCCTTTCACTAGTTATGAAGAGAACCAAGGGAGTTTGTAGGGTTGTTGTCGAGACAAGCACACCACAATATGGGAGTGTACTAAAAATGCTAACTCAGGCTAGGGATGTGGCTCAGTTGGCAGAGTGCTTTCCTAGCATGCTCAAAACCCTTGGTTCCATCTCCAGCATGACATAAAGCTGGGTGTGGTGGTGCATGCCTGTAATTCCAGGACTTGGGAGGTGGAGGCAGGAAGAACAGAAGTTTAAGTTCATCCTTGACTACATAATAAGTTTGAGACCAGCCTGGACTAAGACCTTGTCTCAAATAAAATTAAATAAATAAATAAATAAATAAATAAATAAATAAATAAATAAATAAATAAATAAATAGGCAAGCAAGCAAGCAAGCAAATTCTGTTATCCAGAGGCCCAGGAAGACCTGAACCACTCATCTAGACAGAAGCAAGCTGGATGGTGGTGCAGGTACTTGGAATGCTGAAGTGGGGGAATCTTGAGTTCAAGGCCAGCCTGGGCAACATATTGAGACCCCTATCCCCAAAACAAAAATATAACAATGATAGCTAAACAGAAACAGAAGAGGAAGATCTCTGTGACCCAGTGCCATCTTCCCCTATCACTACAAAGGCTCTAACAATGGATGGCATTAACACAACCCTGTGTTTTGCTAGAAAAAGTTTGCAAGGAAGGAAAATTTACTCTGTTGAGGATGTTTTCTGTAGGTTACCCTTGAGTATCACTTATAGTAAAGCTTAATTGAGGAGGATATGAAGGGTTTTGGTTACTTTATATATATGATAAAGTCAGTATCTCTCTGCTATAGAAGTACATGCACAGTCTTAATGTGCATGAATTAGAGGAGAACATTCATTTAATCCCAGTACTTGGGAGGCAGAAGCAGGCAGATCTCTCTGAGTTTGAGGTCAGCCTGGTCTGCATAGTGAGTTCCAGGCCACCTGGGGCTATAGGAGACCCTGTCTCAAAAAGACAAAAAAGAAAAAGACTTAGCATGCTTATTAACACTTTCCTCTGGGAAGGATTTCTACATTGTTTGAAGCATTCAGAGTCATCACACAATGAGCTGCCCTGTTCTCCCGATGAGTCTGTGCAATCTGCACTTTGAGAATCTGTATCTGAGGGCAGAGGCTAGAGAAGAGATTGAGTAGCTCTTCCCAGGGCTGGATCACTCAGTCTGCAGTGAGGACCCCTGCACTCACCTCCTCTTTGTCACTTTGGCGGAGATGGTTACAGCGATCCAAGAAACAGTGGCCACCCATGACCCACTCCTTTTGGATGAGGCTCTGAAAACCAGTCCTGGTGCGACAGTGGGGGTCCATCATCACTTGCACCAGAGAGGAGAGAAGGCAGCAGAGGTCGGAGGCATTCTCCTCTAGGAGACCCAGTGAGAAGAAGGGGGTAGAGTGTTACAAAGCGGCAGCACTCTCATACGAGGTTTCCAATACCAAGGTCTATTATATTCCTTACAGGCAAATGCCAGTGCATTTAAAAAGGTAATATTTTTAGACAAGAGAGACAAAATGCTTCTGGACTGTTAGGACAGATTCCAGCACTCAGTAGTGCTAAGTACAGATGGATTACTGAACAAACACAGTACTGATATCCATTTACAGCACATGGGCATCCAGAGATGCCACAAAATAGCTTTGGGGCTAGAGAGATAGCTCAGTGGTTAACAGCACTGGCTGCTCTTGCAGAGGACCAAGGTTTGGTTCTCAGCACCCACATGGTGGCTAACTCCAGTTTCAGGGGATCTGAGACCCTATTCTGGTCTCTGCAAGCACTGCACACATATGGTACACTTACATACATGCAGGCAAAACACTCAAATAATATACAAATAACATTTTTTAATTAAAAAAGAGAAAGTGGTATCACTCATATAATACTGGCCTAAGTCCCTTCCTTCCTGAGAGAAAAGGCCTCAGCCACTGAGCTCATTGTTCCAAGGCTCAGCTGCTTCTCACATGCACCTCCTCGTGCCTTTCTTCTATTCCTAATCCTTCACTAATCCTGCTTTGCGCAAAGCTTATGGCTGAACTGCAGCAAAATTACCTTTTTAAAAAAGTATATTTTTTATTTTCTGTGTATGAGTATAGTGCCTGCATATGCATAAGTACACCTGTGTCATACAATGACTGCAGAAATCAGAAGAGGGCATTGGATCCCTTAGAACCGGAGTTATGGACTGCTGTTAGCTGCCATCTAGGTACCAGAAATCAAACCCAGGTCCTCTGCAAGTGTAGCCAGTGCTCTTAACCACTGAACTATCTCTCCAGCCCCAGCAAAATGATCTTATTTTCAGCCTCTTTCCTTTTCTGTCTGAGGTGCACAGAGGTCCCTATTTCTCCTTGTCTGGCCTAGAGGAGGAATTCTCTTTGCCCCTGGAATGCACTTCACAAAACCCACAAGCTGGAAGTCTGTTCACAGACTGACTGACACTCTTGACGTAGAGCAAAGGCAAACATATATCTACAGCCACTCATTCTTCTCAGGGTTTGAGGACCTTAAAGCCAGGTCTACATTCCCTGTGGCTTCCTCTTTATCACCTCTTCCACCAAAGAAAGTACAATCCATGTTTCTTTTTAAGTGGTCTCATAAGATGGCTAGTATCATCAGGGTCAGAGCAACCTGCATGAACTTTAGCCAAGGAGGTGCTCAGACTGTCAGCACTCTCTTCCTGAGCCCACCCCGGAATCACCAAGCACTCAAGTCCAGGCTTACACTTACATCCTCCAGGAAACAAGCAGGAACTACAGGAAGATATGAGACTCTGTGTGTGTATGTGTATGTGCAGGTACAAGTGTGTGAGGGTGCACATGGGTACCTGAGGACAATTTTGGGTGTTGTTCCTTGGGTACTACCTCCTTTTTTACAAGACTGGATCTCTCACTGGTCTGGCACTCACCAAGTAGGCTAGGTTGCCAGTCCAGTGAGCCCCAGGGATCTGCCTGTCTCGACCTCCCCAGTGCTGGGATTACAAGCATATGCTACCATGCCCACTTTTTATTTTAAATGTGGGTTCTTAGGTCTTTGTGCTTGCAAGGCTATTGACAGACATATCTTCCCATCCAAAGAGACAGATTTCTCTGTTTATCTTCTAGTGCTGTCAATTTTTAAAACAAGTTTCATCTTTAAGGAAATCTTCCTCTTGCATCTGAAGGTTGTTGATGGTATTACCTCGGGAGACAGGAAGAAGGGCTAGAAAAGGAGATTGCAGAGGAAAGACAACTCAGAAGCCAATCAAGGGGCAAGGGACCTCTTACATCCATCATCCAAAGACATGGGTTCATACTATGAAAGTCTGGGATCAATGCAATCTGGCTCTGGGGTCTTCCACCCCTCGGGTCTAACTCCTCCTCTTCACTAGCTACTTGGTATTCAAATAAGACTCTTTTTATGTCTTTAGAAATAACACTCTTGGGTTGTAAAATGTCCACAGGGCAAAAAGCAGAGTTCTATGCATGGAAAGTGCTCAATGAGGGTATTCTGCTCGAATCTAGGGTCCAGAAGCCATTGAGGCACACTTCCAATCTGCTCTTAAGACGCTGATTCCAACAGAAGAGACACACAGAACAGACTCACAATAGGAGGCAATCTGCTTAATTTGTAGTGTGGGCTATAAGAAACTTAAAATATTCTAAAAGGCAGGCCAGGTATGGTGGTGCATGTCTGTAGTCCCAGATACTTGTAAGGCTGAAGGGCAGGTTTGAGGCTGGAACCAGCTCCTAAAACCAAACTGAAAAGAATTAAATCTAAAGCAGGAACACTGCAGTTCCTATCTAATCTCTTATAGCAACAACCCTTGCTGCAGGTGGTTTACACTTGCTGTATACATTCTGTGTGTGTCACTGTCCTCATGCAGAGTAAATTACTCCTACCATGGAGAGGAAAATCAGACCACCAACTTTCCATGGCAGCCACACAAAGTTGCCCACACAGAAATAAGAACAGTAATCTAATCATCTACATGTTGTCTCCTTATATAAAAGAGAAAGCCAAAATATTGCATCTTTAACCAAGTTGGGTTAATAAGAAAGAAAACTGAAACCATTCAGATGTGTGAGCTTTGGTAAAGATGTCAAACAATTCGTTCTTGGGCTGTGAATGGACTGCCAAGTTCCAAGTGAAGGAATTTTATTTTAAACTGTAACACTGAAATCCAAAGCAAAGGACTGCAAGCTAAGGAGAAAGGAGTGGAGAGGATTTCTGTACTAGCCCCACCTTTTATGAGACAATTCCATTCCAGCAAATTACATACACAAACACTGAATCTCAGGTGAAAGAGGACAGGAATCATCTTTTGCACTGTTACCTAAAAGGAGGATGTTCATGTTCTGTGCGTCCATGCATGCTGTAATCTCTATTGCTTTTTTCAGGCAACGTCTAAATAGGGAAGAGAGACAAGAAACAGGGGCATTAGTCCTTGAGCATGGGACATGAACAATAAGTTTAGAGATGGCTTGAATGGTTCAGTTTTCTTTTTATTTCTTCATGCTAAAATTTTGTAGAAAGGAAATAATCACCATTTACTGAGATACTCATCTGCCTATAAGAAACTATGAGTATACACACAAAGACACAGACACACATTCATTCAAAGCTATAAAATCAGCATCTTAAGAGTCTGCACTCCCACATACACTGCAGCATTACTCACAACAGCCAAGCTATGGAAGCAGCCAAGGAGTTTGCTGACAAATGAATTGATGAGTACAACTCTGTGTGTGTGTGTGTGTGTGTGCGTGTGTGTGTGTGTGTGTGTGTGTGTGTGTGTGTGTACATACGTGCTGGAAGATTATTCAGCAATAAAAAAGGAAGGAAATTCTATCATTGCAGCAATATGGGAAGAACTCGAAGTAAGTATGTAAGTCAGGCACAGAAAGACAAATGCTGCACAATCTCACATGTGAAATCTACAATGTCTAGGTCTCAAACTAACAGAGAACAGAATAGCGGTTCCAAAGGGACAGGCAGTGATAGAAACAGGGAGATATTGGTCAAAACATACAAATATTCAATTAGAAGATAAACAAGCTTTAGGGAACTAAGATGCAGTACAGATGGGGATGGGCATAGTAACCTGTGGTAGCTATGGCAGTCATCATGCCACACACATATTATATAGATCAATACACTGTCCCTTGGCTGGTGTATAATTCCAGTGGTACTGCGCTTGTCCAACATGCATGAGGCACTGTGTTCCATCTCTAGCACCACAAACATACGTAACTTGAATTATATAATCTTTGTCAATGGAATATTTGGAAAAAAAACATAGGAATTTAAAATTTTCAGGAGAACCACAGAATTTATATAAAGATATTTCTAGTTATTTTTTAGTAAAAATTTTAGCAAGCATACTGAACAATAGGTTTCATTATAACAGATCAAATATATGTATCATTGTCTTTTGCTCATACTCATCCCCCATGCTACCCTCCCCATCTCTCCTCTCCACCTCTCCTGGTTCCTTTCACCTCCCCAAACAGCCTCCTCCCCACAGAGAAATATGCACTATTTCATCTTTCCTCCCCTTCCCCACCTACCCTCTCTTTCCCCCACTTCTTCTTTTAAACCCATCCTCTCCTTTCATAGTCTGCCTTCTATTTGTTCTTTTGTGTGTAACAAATATAGCCCAGGCTGCCTCAAACTTAGTAAACTGAATTTCTGATCCTCCTGCCTCTACCTCAAAGTGTTGGGATTACAGATATGTACCAATACAGCTCTCCCTATTCTTGCATGTTATATATGTAAAATCTAGATCCTGCACGTGAGATACTGCACATGTGATACCGTCTTTCTGAATCTGTCTTGTTTCACTTTCCTGCAAATGACATAATTCCATTCTTTACAGACTCGCAGCTGTGCATATGTATATCCTAGGTGACTATTCAAATTAAAAGTCTTACTGAAAATGCAAACCAGCTGGGCATGGTGGCACACACCTTTCATTCCAGCACTCAAGAGGCAGAAGCAGGTAGATTTCTGTGGTCTACATAGTGAGTTCCAGGCCATCCAGAGTTACATAGTAAGACCCTGTCTCAAAAAAAAAAAAAAAAGCAAACCTGAGCCTGCAGTAAGTCCCAGCAAGACTCAGAAACAGCCAGTCCTGAAGCACAACAAGATGCATGTCCACATACTTTCCAGTTCAGGTTACCATCTGAATACACTGGTATGGCTAAGAAGACCCCTTCCTGTCTCTACATGCCATTCTTTTGAGACTGTGGCCACTATCTGAAGCTCTGACTTGGCCCTGATTTGTATCAGGGTCCTTTCTCATATGTCATCAGCTTCCAGCTGTGCCCATTCCTGCTCCCATCCCTCATTCCCCACAGCCCGTGCTTCACCTGGTTAGGGACGCTCACCTTCGTGTCTACTCTGCATAAAGAAGGCTTCTTTCATACATTTATCACTGTTCACAATTTTAAATTCAAATTACGGGACATGTAGTAGGCCTTTGAAAACCTACTCATTGAGTTTCTGAAGGACTGAGACCCCCTCCCAATATTCTTTCTTAGAACTAAGAGAGGCCAACCATACTGGTCCATACCTACAACCCCAGCACTTAGGAGTTCAGGCAGGAGCTGAGGTCAGCCCGGGTGATATACAGACCCAATCTCAAAAAAACAAAAACTAAACAAATGAATGAATAAAAATTACTTAATCATTTATTTATTATAAGAAAATGCCATGCAAGGTAGATGGAAACATTCCTTTCTCTCCTCAATTGTGGCACAGGGTGAACTAGTCTATGGCCACACTTCTGTTCTGTATTTACCTTTGCCATGTCCTCTATTTAATGACAACAGAGGCACTGTGAATTACAAAGGCACTATAACTCTTCTCTGAGACTCCAAATTCGATTTTTAAAAATTAATTTATTTTTACGTGTATGAGTGTTTTGCCTGCATGTATATAACTACCACATGTGTGAAATATCCACAGACACCAGAAGAGGGTGTCAGAACTCCTAGACCTGGAGTTACAGATGCCATGTGGGTGTGCCATGTGTGTACGCTGGGTCCTCTGTGAGAGCAGTCAATGCTCTTAACCACTAAGGCATCTCTGCAGCCATCTCTCAATTCTAAAATCAAAAATGACTCATTAACTTTGACTTTCTAAAAAAATTTAATTGGTAATATACACATAAGACCCAAGCTCAGAAAGGTATTTCAGTGGGAAGCCGTCCCCACTCCTGTCCCCACTTTGGAGGTCGGCATGCTGTCTGTGTTAGTTCTGGGCGGCTCTGCTTTTCCTGTAGTCTTTCAGGGTCTTGCCTACAGAGTGCGCTTCAGGTAGCATGTTGGTAAATTATTATCAAAAGTGCAAAGAAATAATAAACAGCAGACATAAAATTCAGCCAAGCCCTGAATAGAATATGTGATCTGAAGATGATTGTGAAATATCAGTTACGTGCTAATTACTCTACAACTCAGAATTAGAAAACTGTAAAATTCATCTTCAGGTAGCATGTTGGTAAATTATTATCAAAAGTGCAAAGAAATAATAAACAGCAGACATAAAATTCAGCCAAGCCCTGAATAGAATATGTGATCTGAAGATGATTGTGAAATATCAGTTACGTGCTAATTACTCTACAACTCAGAATTAGAAAACTGTAAAATTCATGAATAAAAAAATGGGTTGACTCTTGGGGTAAGTCTATAGAGCAGCGCTCCGCGCCGGGACTCCCTAAGCCTCATTCACCCTTCCACCCCACCGCCTCGCCGTTCTATACTCCTAGTTTGAGCCCTGCGCCATTCCTAGTCTTGGGGCCCCAGACACCTGGGGAACCAATACT